TTTCAGGGTCGCCTGGCCAAGGTCACAGCTCTCAAAACTCCATGGACCAGTTTTGCTCTGTACTTGTTTTAAGGGCCACCTGGTATTGACAACAACAGGGACAGTTTTGGTTGTCACACCTGGCAAGTGATACTGACATGTGGGTGGAGGGGAGTAACTTGCAGTCATGAGTGCACACAGCCCCTACAAGAAGGACTAGCCAGTTTAACTAGTCAGCAGCTCCAAGTGGAGAAACCCTGGCCTTACACTTACTAACCAGGGATACGTGGGTATTGGTGGAGTCTGGGCTTGCCCCTAAGCAGGGCAGTGAATTGTCACTTGAAATTTAATGGGCTCATTCTTGTGCGCCAGTTGGGTCTATTTTGCTTATGGATCAGGTTCTATCTGATAGATTTTGGATGTATAGTGGAGGGGAGATAGCATGGGTGTTGTGTTTTTTGGGGGCAGCAGAATGAAATGAAATGCTCCCTTTGTAGCGTTTCTGCAGTGCACTTTTTAAAATTTAGAAACAGCAAGCCTCCCTCAGCTTTGCTTTCTGGGTGTAAAACTCAATTTTCCTCAAGCCAGAGAGCTTTATCTTTGACCTCTGAGTCTTCAGTGGTGCTTGCCCTCTGAGTCCTTAAGTGGGGCTTAAAGGAGAACATGCTGGGTCTATGCCAAACAGTTCCTTTCTGTTCTTTGAGCCTGTCTGGTGTCTTGTTGGTAAAATTAGCTAGTAAACAGGGCACTGCCTTGGGACCGGAGCTGGGACTTTGAAACCTTGACCATTTAGGTCAGGTGAGCACTCTCTTTGGCATGGTGTCAACCTTGTATGTGAAGCAGAAACACAGTGTGTCAACAAGTGGGACTTCTCTGGGCTTTGGAGATTGGAAAGGTGAGTTATAAACAGATAGTATGTGCTTGGTCTTGTTTTAGGAATTTCTAGTAACATTTACCTTAACTAGACTTTGCCCGGTCTAGTATTATATACAGTTTGTATGTGCTGTTGACATAATTAGAAAGTAACCTGGGATTACAAATTTTCCACAGGGCATTGATTTGCAGGTGAGTCAGTTCACATGTGTCACACACGCACACACACACACACACACACACATCTCACCCCCCCTTCAATTACTGAGAAAGAAAGCATGCTTTGGAATGAGGGGAGACTGGAGCCATGTGGTAGATGGGGAGGACTGAAAGCTGGCAGTAGTTTGTTGTTTCTACAAGTGGGATTCAGGAGTTGAGGTGGGAAGGGCTACTGACAGAGAGGATGGTCGGGGCTCTGAAATCCCAGCCCAGGCTCTGAAACACCTTGGGCAGCAAAAGCAGAGAGCCCTAGGCCTGAGGGGCCATGCTCACTGCATCCTACTGATTCGTACTCACAGCGAGCGACTCCATTAGAAAACTTGTCCCTGTGGATATTCAAGACTGTAACTCTTCAGAAGAGCAAAGAGCCTCATCTTTCTCCCAAAGAGCAGCTGGTGGTTTCTAACTGCTCATTTTAGCAGCCTAACATGTAACTACTACGCCACCAGGGCTCCTTAAAATAAAATAACAAAATCTAATTCAAATGAAAGTCCCCAAACTATAGAACCAAGTATCTTTTAGAATGGGTATTTGTGTGGGGAGAGTGTTTGTTAGTATTGTGAACATCTGAGCCCCTTAATGAGCTTAGCTGCTGCTGTCTGTCAGGGAGAGAAGCCTGG